ACATTTTAGCTGTTTTACTGCACATTTGAGCTGTTTTGAGCTGTTTTACTGTACAATTGAGCTGTTTTACTGCACATTTGAGCTGTTTTACTGCACATTTTAGCTGTTTAACTGCACATTTTAGCTGTTTTACTGTACATTTTAGCTGTTTTACTGTACATTTTAGCTGTTTTACTGCACATTTGAGCTGTTTTGAGCTGTTTTACTGTACAATTGAGCTGTTTTACTGCACATTTGAGCTGTTTTACTGCACATTTTAGCTGTTTTGCTGCACATTTGAGCTGTTTTACTGCACATTTTAGCTGTTTTACTGCACATTTTAGCTGTTTTACTGCACATTTTAGCTGTTTAACTGCACATTTGAGCTGTTTTACTGTACATTTTAGCTGTTTTACTGTACATTTTAGCTGTTTAACTGCACATTATAGGTGTTTTACTGTACATTTTAGCTGTTTTACTGCACATTTTAGCTGTTTTACTGCACATTTTAGCTGTTTTACTGCACATTTTAGGTATTTTACTGCACATTTTGGCTGTTTTACTGCACATTTTAGCTGTTTTACTGCACATTTTAGCTGTTTTACTGCACATTTTAACTGTTTAACTGCACATTTTAGCTGTTTAGCTGCACATTATAGTTGTTTTACTATACATTTTAGCTGTTTTACTGTACATTTTAGCTGTTTTACTGCACATTTTGGAACAAATGAGCACTTTTGATACTTTTATGTTTTTTTCTGCTAATTTTAAATTTTAAACACTTTCACCATCTGTGTGCTAATTTTAACTTGTGCCTGCTACCTTTAGCTTATTTTTATGCTAATTTTAGTTGTTTTTTTTCCGCTATTACTCTCCTTTTTTCTATTCTGTTAGTTTCTGCTTTTTCGCTCTTCTTTCAACTTTTCAAATGGATCAACAGTTTTGCTATGAAACATTTTCAGCTGCATGTCAGCAGCTTTCAGCTGAAGTTTTCAGCAATCAGAATCCACAGCTTTTTGGCAGGAACTGTAATTTCTCCAGTTTTCTTTACYAAGGCCTTTGGGCACATGAGGAGGTGATGTTGGGGGAGGGGCATATTGTCTGACGTTACCTGTGGAGTCCTCCTGTAAGCCCACGTCGAAGGCCAGCTTGTCGGTGAGGGATCGTGATGTGGTCAGACAGCTCAGGTACTGAGGAGCAGTTTTTCATCAGGACATAAATATGTGAAAATAAAAACTCACGTTTGTGTGTCGTTTAGACGTTTTTAGACTCACCATGCCTGAGTGGTGGTGTCTCAGAAGGATGGCATGACCGTACAGTAAGGTGCGATGACCTCCACCCTGAGACGACTGCAGTGGAAACATCAGGATTTAATCACACCACGCTTTAAAAACAAACAATATCTTACCTGCTCTAAAGAACTCAGTACGGAGTGTAATTCTGACGGGACCAACGAGCTAACAGCTAGTTCAAACAAAACTGCAAACTTAAAACATCTCAGATTAAAAAACAGTTCATGTGAAAACTATCTGTACAGATTCATAAAAACTGAGGCTGTTCAAACAGCCATCTGCTACAGGTAAGATATTAATTAGTCATACTTTTAACAGAGCCCAACTATAAAAACAAGACGAAACAGCAGCAGATAATACTTCCCTTCCTTCAACACTATTTTCAGAAAGAATCACAAAAATGTGGCCAACGAGACAAACTTTTCTCAACCAGTAAAGTTTCAACAAGAAACAAATGAAATTATTATCGAGGCTGATGATGGATGAGCTCCATCATTTAATCAGCAAAGCTTTGTGTGTCTCTTTAATCTGCTGTTAGATTCAGGGTCAGGTATGTGAASAGGCAGCTCTGCTCTGCATTAACACCTGCCGGTGGGGGACAGGTGCTGCTGCTCGGGGGGATTCCCCGTGTGTTAAAGAGGAGAGGTGTCTGGTTTCTGCAGCCCCCCTGAGAGAGGCGGGTCTATTCCAGCTCTGTTTATCATCATCTACAAGCTGTTCAGTGACGACTTTATCTACAAATAAACTTTCATTTAAACTAATAAAAAGATTTATTTAAATCACTGCTTTTTATACTTTAAAACAGTTTAATTTCATCATAAAAACTCCAGGCTGTGGGAACTGGAGTCGCTGTGGGTGCTACAGCACCCTCGTGCACATGACAAGAAATAGTACGTATCAAAAATAAAGAAATGCATAAAAATGAATTTAAAGTGGAAAAAAAGCATCTATTCACTAGTGTTATGCTAGTTTTTCATCCATATATGTATACTACAACTTCCTGTTTTCAACAGATTTGTGTTTAATGCAGTTTCTACAGAGTACTGAAGTTTGTTTTTTAATGGATCCCTGATTAGTTGTAACATTGCTTTATTTAATAAACATGTATATTAACTGTAAAATAAAGACTGTAAAAATACTGTAGGATATTGAGTTTTTATAATTTTTAAAAATATATTTTAACAGACGGAGTCATTTTATTTCCACACAAAGCATTCTGGGTAAATGATGACGTRGATAGGTCCTCGGTGCGAGGCTGCTAGCGAGCTATATCCACCCTGAAGGTTAATCTTGGACAATATCTGATGATCGACTCTTTTAAATGAAACCAGAGAGCGTTGACAGAGAGGAGAAGGTAGAAATGACTCAGCCTGGAACTGAAAATATGGATGGAGGACAACAGAGCTGCTTCATGGAAGAAGAAGCTCAGCTTAGCTTGTTAGCTTTAGCGTTAGCCCCGATGCTATCACCATATATATGTATTAGCTCAGCGCTACACATTCTCCTCTCATCACTGAGGTCCTCCATCCACATGACAGAGAGGGGAACACAAAAATGACTCAGCTGCAACTGAAAATATGGATGGAGGACCTCAGTTTAGCTTGTTTGTTGCGCTAGCACCGAGCTAATACATATAAGGCAACATAGGGTCGGTGCTAAAGCTAACAGGCTAGGCTGAGGTTCTTCTTCCATGAAGCAGTTCTGTTTTGTGTGTAAATAAAATGGCTCAGTCTGTGTTAAAATATATTTTTAAAAAAGATAAAAACTAAACAGCCCACAGTATTTTTAGTCTTTATTTTACAGTTAAAATATGTTTATCAAAATAAAGTCTGATGTTACAACTAATCATGGATCCCTTTAAACTGTGACTGTATGAAAACATCCAGCCGGTAAGTATCGGCCCACTTCAATGACTGATTTTTATTTTTATTTATTTTTTGGTTACAGCTGCAGGTTTTTGCGTTAAGGCATAATTAGACAGTTTATATAAAAATGTGTCAGAAAAGGATGAACAATGAACACATTAAAATTATATTAAAACTCTATAAAAAAAAAGAGCTGGTGATATTTCTGAACAAAATGAAAACACAATGAGATGTAATTAATCACATTAAATGCTCGAAACATCGTCTAGAATAAAAAAACTCCTGTTAATAAAAACCACACAGAGATGAAGGGCACACCTACAGTCAAGAAGACCAAACAACACGACATCGTTTCAGGAAACAGGACAGAAACACAGACAGGAAGTTCTACACAGACGTACCCATTGGTCCAAATCCACTGCCTGCTTGGCAGGAAGCAAAAAGGGGAGGGGCATCAGATAACCCGTATCAGAATTATTAAACAAAAACAGAAAATTTGAGCTGAAACATCAAGAGGATCATGACTGAAGGCTTGTTGAATAAGCAACACGATGGAACTAAAAACCAAATAACCCAAAGTTTCCTGTGATTTTGAGTCAACAGACACACCACCTTTAAAGGGGCGGGGCCAGAGGGGAACCTCCGGCACCTGATTGGCCACCGCAGGTTCCATCAAAACGCTGCGAGCCTCACCTCGGTCATCTCCACGGTGTTAGCCAGCATCTCCACCAGCGCTCGCACCGACAGCGACTGCTCCAGGATGAAGCTGCAGATGGCCAGGTCGGGCGGCACATTCTGCAGGTGAGTCACAGACACACAGGTGAGGAGGAGGAGAAGCTGGGGTCCGGAACAAACCGAGGAGCGGAGGAGAAGGGTCTCACCTGAGCGTTGGATGTGGTCTCTAAGAAGCAGAGCCGGTTCCCGAAGCCCTCGCAGGACAGACACAGCTTGATCTGCTGCTCCTTCAGGACGGAGGCGGTGCACTGCAGGACCACCTGGTCATCCTACACACACACACACACACACACACACCAACACCATTAAACCTTAAACAGACATTTTATTCATCCCTCTGCACGATGATGCACAAAAACTTGTGATGATTATGTAATATTTGTCCTGAAGGTTTTTCTTTGTAATGTTTTCTGCTGATTATAAAATAAATATGATGCAAACACTTGAAAGTTTGTATGAAAAGAACATTTGTATAACAGTGCAAGTGGGATTCAAGGTCAGCAGAATTTTTTTAACACTTTTTTTCTGAAAAGGCCCTGTTGTAAAAGTTAAACCTTTCAGCTCGACTGAATTTACCAAATTAAAACGTTCTGGAAAAGCGTTTTATTTAATTTTATTAATTTGGTGATGTAGTGAACCCCAGCTAGACGATGGTAATGAATAGTGATGTTTCACGACTATCCTTCATTTGTTTCCTTAGGTTTTTATATTAAATACTGTAGAGCTACCTGACATATAAACAGACCATTTCATAGTTACATTATCACAAATGAGCGAAGCGATACGACCTAACGAGTTTATCAGGAAAAAGTCGAGGTTTTTATGTAAACCCCATTGTAACTGCACAAATAAAACAGGTCATTTTAAGGGATGTCCGATAATATCAGCCTACAGATATTATCGGTTCGATATTAGCATAAAAATGTAAAATCTCTACATATCTGTATCAGTTTTTATTCTGATAACAAAAGCCAAATAAATTAACGCCTGGATTTGACCAAAATGTGATAATAAATGCTGATGACATCATCAAACTGTATTATCTCAGGGAGATCAAACTATTGTTTGAAACTAAATGTTAAAAATAAATGGCACTTTTTCCCTAACTTCAGTAAAACGTTATTTATTTTTGTACAATGTTTACCTATGGAAAGCACCCAGTGAGGTATCAAAAAGCAGACATAATGTCCCTGACAGGATGTGATGTCACCTTAATATTGGTTTGTAACATTGGTTAATATCGTAATCAGAAATTAAGTGTTGAACAATATCGACATATCAAATATCGACAAAAAGTCAATATCAAGCATCTGTAGTAATTTTATGTTGTTATACAGCCCAATGTATTTACTCTAAACTAATTTGTGTTAAACTTTCCTTTAGGATCGTGGATGAGAATTTTCATAAATATCTAAAATATAAATCTGTTTTTTGAACTTGTTGAAGTTGCACAACTACAATGACATTTTCATAGCAGTTGACCTGTGACCTAGATAGCTAGGCTTCATTTTATTTCATTTTTCTTTTGATTGTTTATTTGAACAGGGACAAGTGTCGAGCATTAACAACACTTTACACTACAACATTTATAGCCAGAGCTAATTTGCAATGCCCGTCCCTAGATGGGCTTTTAGCAACATGAAATAAAAGTGTAAAAAACAGTTAACAAATAAAAACATCACAATATTAAAACTCACTAATAAACCCATAAACCAACTTAAAGACTGTTATGGACTAATTATCTATCCGTTTCACCTTGAAGCTGTCCAGTATTCATATATCTCATGTTCAGTGTTAATCTGTGTTTGCCCAGACAACAGGACTCCTCAACGGACTGAACTCTCTTGTTTGATAAGAGACTCTTTGAGCTGAGAGCCCTGTGATTGGCTGGATAGTACATTAGTCAATCTGTGATTGGTTATAAGCACGTCATATGATGTTATCATGGTGTATATTATTGGCTGTGTCTGCTGACATGTCAGCCACAAGCTGACAAATCTTCCTGATTGAGTTCTGTTTGTTTGTCACTCAGAATTAAATCATTATTTATGACCATACACGCAGACTTTCTGTGCATTATTCCAACGTGTTTCTGCTTTCTTGGTGAATCATGCGACGACAAAGACAAATCATTAAAATGTGACAGTTCAGTTATTCATGACTACAAAGCTACGCGCATGCGCATTTGTGATAAAACTATGAAATGGTCTATTAGCATAACTTATCATAAATTAGCTCCAGCTTACATAAACAATTAATGAATTTTTCTTCCACAAAGAAACTTTCAGTTAAATTGTACCATATTCACTGGCGTTCTCCTTAAACCATGTAGCATGTTGCTAACATTAACATTAGCATCATAATATGTAGCAATAATAAAACAGTAACATTGAACTTCAACGCTTTCATAAATAACATTCATTGTCTTAAAAGTAGTAAAATATGTTGTTCCCATTTCAGCTGGGCTTTTAATAAAGTCTGACCATTAGCCAACTTTAGCTCTTTTTTTTTTTACCTAATCCAGCTAACAACACTTACGCAGATCAGATGGTAACTTCACAGGAAGTTCACCAAAATAAAAGCCTAGTTAAATAAAAGAAAAAAAGCCTCATACAGACGTGTTACTGAGGAGCATTTTGGGGTCAGTTACAGGTGAGATAAAACAGGTTGAGACAGTTTGGTCCAACAGGGCAATGACCTCAAACGCCCATCAGAACTGGTTCTGATTGGACAAACCATGCTGACATCACATTTCTGGGATGGCCTTCCCAAAGTTTCAACCTGATTTAAAGTGCCTGTGACATGCCTATCCTTCAAACACAAAAAGTCAAAGAAAATATCTTCTTATTTAGGAAAATTGGCATAAAACACATGATTTAACCCATTTTGTCCCATAACTGGCATATTTTGTTTTGAATTTGGCTCATCTGAAGTGAAACAGGAAGTGACATCAAAGGGGAACTCTTTAAGAAAGAAAACTTTCTGGTCTCTGTTTATTAAAACAATATTTTTGAACTCTGACTCTTCATCTCTCTTATAGAGACTAAAATTATCTAAAGAAAAATCAGAAAATTCCCTGCTGTCTGTGTTGTTAGCCACTGTAGCAAAGCTCTGTTTACATTCAGATATTCCCCTTTGACATCACTTCCYGTTACTTTACATGCAAAAATCTTAACTGTTCATCTCAGTGGCGTGAAATTGCTTTTTCAATACGTTGTCCACGTTATCTTTCCAAAAGTGCGTTCGTATTTATCACAGAAATTTTATGTCACAGGCACTTTAATATGTATATTCTGATTAAAAGCAAGTTTTTAAAGGAAACTAACCAGTTTAACTGAACACTACCAACTCTGTCGAGAAGAAGAAGTTGTCCAAGACTTAAAAGACTGAATGTTAGAAATGAGCTGTGTGGATATTTCATATAGATGTTAAATTTTGATCTTGTAAATTTTAGAGAAAATCCATAAAAAAGCCATGAAAAACTGTTCAAATTAATCATTAAAAGCCCAAAATAAATCAGTCCTAGGAGCTCATCTGGTGAGAGTTTGTAAAGGTCTAACAGAGATAAAGATGTTGTTTAACTGATCAGCTGCTAACAGCTCCATTCAGGAGACACAATGGACACTGAATTCCACAAACACAAAGCTAATGCTCGGGGATTTGTTTCCCCTCCTGTTGGTCCCTGGACCTGGACCTGGACCTGGACTCTCTCAAACGGGTGTAAATCCAGCGATAAGCACCCCCTCCTGTGTGAAACCAACACCTGACACTCAGCATTCTCAGCTGCTGCTTCTGCTCAGCTGCTATCAAAGTGGAAACATTGAACCGGACAGACTCTCTGCTTCTGAACAGACCTTTCCTGAACAGGTTAGTTTTTGTGTTCTTGTCCCGTTCTCTGCCCTGTGGTCCGGTACCAGTCTGTCAGGTCTTCTGGTTCTGTTGTAAAGAACTCAGACAGTTTAAAAACCGAGCCCACCAGGTAAACAGGAAGTGATGTCACCAGAAGACTCACCACACTTTAAAACCTCAGAATCTCCCTTCTGCTGTCATCAGTCTGTCCTGAGCCTAGAGACGTCTCCTCAGCCCTGTCCTGTGGAGAGACTTGTCCTCTGTCCTCCTCAGCAGACATGAGCTAAAGCAATCAGCTCAAATGTTCCAGGTTGTCCAAGAAAAACTTTTAATCTTAAATAAAAGGTTAAAAATCAAACAGCTGATTGTCTTTTCTACATTTTTAAAACCCTGCTTGAAAATAAATTAAAAAGTAGCAAAAGGAGTAGCTAAAAGCTTACAGCAAAATGCTAGGTAAACCCTAAAAATAGCAGAAGGCAAGCTAAATGTAGCTAAAAGCTAGTTATAGCTTAAATAGCAAAATGCTACCAAAAATATTAAAAGTAGTAGCGAAAGGCTAGCTAAAATTCAAAGCTAGAAAAAGGTTATGGCTGTGTCCAAAACAGCAGGAYGGGTCCTCCAAAGGTCGAATTCGTCGGCCGCATACGTCACAGCGCCGCGACGAAGGACGTCCAAAACCGAAGACTCCTCCGATGCGGCCGACAAATACGTCCTTCCTTTGGCCCGAATCGAAGGACATGTCTGATGGATCCTTCCCGGCCCAGCGTATCCCATAATGCATTGCGGCCCGACCGGAGATTTTTTTAAGCTAGTAATGGCGGACGAAGCGAGAGAAAAGAATATGTTTTAAATAAAAATATGGTGATGTAAAAATTAAAAAAAATTAGCAGTTGCAATTCTAATACTTTTATCATTTGTATGTATAGACATGTTTTTAAGTATTATTTTTATCATAAAAAACGCGAAATAAACATGCACCTACAGCGTGTCAATTAGTTCTTCAAATGTTACCTTTAAGTTAACTTTATTATTTTGTGATATTAATAATGCTAACATATCAATATTTTTCTAATTTTGATCTATTTTTGCTTCTGTTTAGCATCTTCATTTTTGCTAGGTGACATGACGTACGCCGGGGTGGACTGGAGGCTAGACCGTCCAAATTCACCGCCTCTTTTTTCCGGTCTTCCCGGTCTACAAGGACCCGACCCACCTCGACAGGGTAGTCTGGGTCCTCTGGAGGAACCGGCCTGTCCTTTTGGACATAGTCTATAGTAAAAGTAGCCAAAGGTTTGCTAAATTCAGCTAAAAGCTAGTTATAGCTTACATAGCAAAATGCTAACAAAATATTAAAAGTCATAGTCAAAGGCTAGCTAAAATCAAGCTAGAAAAAGGCTATACTAGAAGTAGTCAAAGGTTA